GTCATAGTGGTATGTCACCATGGAGAGGCCAAAAGTCAGTGTCCATGAGGCTCCTAGGGTGGCATCCATTATTCTGGTGAAGCCTTCAGCATGTCAAGTCAGTTCCCTAGCTCTGCAGCTCAGAAACCTGATTTTTCATCCTTGGTTGAAGACTCACATTAACCAAGTTCAAAGTACCAGATGTATAAATCAGTACTGATACATAAAATATGAATGTACTGGTTTCAAGTAAGTGACACAACTCTTACCCAGACAGAGACCCCAGGGCTCACGAACCCAGGAAGTAGAGACCACAGAGGTGAGATGGCAGAAGGGTTGTTCAAGTGGCCCATGAGGCCAGTCTGACTTCATTTGGAATCATGGCTTTGCTGGAAGGCAGCCTGCATGACATCTCCACGTCTCAGCACCATCACTGGCAGAGGAATGACAGTCTTATTTTAGATGATAATGCGATCATGTAGGAGACTGCTCAGCACTGTGTGTAGGACATGGACTGTATGTAGGACCTCAGCAAGTTCTTTGGAAGGCATGGGGTTAGAAGAAGGAGCATTCCATAGGTAATAGGAGTGTTTTCACATGACTGGCTAAGGTAGCGCCATGCCTGCATTTCTGCCATAGAAAAGGCCTTGCCCCTGGGACTCGAATATTCAAAGCCTGTTGGCCAAGACCTCATTTGTTTCCCCAGATCATTCCCCTTCCCAGACTCCTCTCCATCCCCCACCCCACACACCCTATTCATTCACTGGGGCCCATTCTATGAAACCGTCACTGTATTTAGTTATATTATAGATAAACTGTTATTCTAGCCCTGAGAGTAATTTTTTTCTCTTCCTGGGTAAATTTATGTATCCCTGGTTGGTTCCATTGAGATGTTGGCTTTAAAGTTTAACTCTCAAAGAGAAGGAAATCTTATTTCCGTCACTTCCAGATTTGGGCTGGAACCCTCACCATAACCCCTAAGAACCCACAAAGAATGACTTTATAGTTGCACCTCATTTTATGAAACCAGTTTGATCCAGTGTGCTCTCCGCTCCGCCCCATCACCATTCACCAGACTTGACTTCACGTGACTTTTGACATTTGAAAAAAGTCCAATCTGTTCTGAGCACAAGAAAGCTTATCACCAGTAAGGATGCTTTTACAGATGTGACCCAGGCTTCAAAGGCAAACCCCAAAGATCACCAAAATGTCTGCATTTTAGATCTGCTGTGACTGCTGTGGAAGGGACAGCAAACATTTGGACGGATAAGTTATGGTACTTTGCAGTGTAAAAATCAGCCATGCTACCCTACATTTGGTCACAACGTTTAAACGCTTTGTATCTGGGCAGCCAGGTACCTTCTAGGGGTGGAGGTGATGCTGGCAACATGGCCTGCAGCATCTCATAGCAAACACAGCCTGAGGCTTCAAGAGCCCCCTCACCTTGGATTCTATGTTGTTGTTTATCAGTGATGCTCTGAGATGTGCCACATTCACTCCCAGCCTTCCTCTGTGTAGATTCCTACTCTTTATGAAGGAGCATCTTACATAAAGTCTTGAATTGCCCATCGGTTACAGAGATTGTGCTTTCACTTCTTCAAATTTTAATGTGAACTGAAGCATAGAATGTTAGAAGATGTTGGTTTATCAAGCTGGATTCTCCTGTTGATTTACGTCTTCTGGGGGAAGGAAGCACTGCCCGTGTTTCAGACCCACTCTCGTCATTTCCAGCTGGTTTCACTGGTAAATTGATGGTGATTGGAGCCTGGAGGCTGCCACCCTGGGAGCCCAGGAGGAGGCAGCAAAGCGGGAACCACACTTTGGCTTTTTGAAATGAACACTAGCTCTTACTCTGTGCGTCGAAGGGAGTCTAAGGTCCTATTGGCAGGTACTACATGCTGCATGTTTTTTGTACCTCCTGCAGGATTGGCCAGTGCTTTATACATATTAGACACTCGGTAATGTTTGTTGAATTAAATGGAGTGCACCTGCCTTAGTCCACTTGGGCTGCCATGACAAAACCACAGACGTGGAGGCGAGTGCTTAAATAACAGACATGGATTTTCTCACAGCTCTGGAGCCTGGACATCCAAGATCTGGGTGCCCGTCTGGTCGGGCTGCAGGGAGGGCTCTCTTCCTGACTTGCAGATGGCAGCCTTCTCACTGTGTCCTCGCCTTGTGGAGAGAGAGCAAGCAGGCTCTCCAGTGTCTCTTCTAATAAGGACGCTCATCCCATCATGAAGGCCTGCGCTCTGACCTCACGTAAACCTAATTACCTCTCAGAGGCCCCATCTCCAAATACCATCACTTTAGGAGCTGATGCTTTAACATATGAATTTGGGAGGAGTGGACACAATACAGTCCATGGTAGCGCAAAAAAAGTGAAATAAAAAACTAAACTGTCATGTAACTCTCTGCTTTTCTTTTTTACCACCTTCACCATTGCACCCATTCCCCCACCTCTGGCAGCCACCAGTCTGTTCTCTGTATCTATGAAGTGTTTTTTTG